ATTTTTTTTCTTTTACTTTTTTTACTTACAGCGTCAAATCTTCCCAGGGGGAAACCTCAATGTCAGCAAACACTCCTGGTGGTAAATATTGTAACTGGTTGTTGGACAAGTCCCTGAAACCAATAGGTCATCACAACGAAGCGTGAACTCTGTTGCCTATGTTATGTATGTTTTCCTACATCTTGAAAGCACACGATACTTTTCAAAATACTATAAACAAATGCAAAGCTTAATGTCGTTTTAGAGTTGGGGTACAAATCTAAAAGAGGGCAAATACTCTAATCAGATTCATTGCCTCACGAAAATTTAAAGGCTAGACTTTAATGAAATTAAAGAGAAATTTTTAGATTACCCTTTGTCAGATTCCTTTTAACCTCGCTGGCCATATATCCGAAACAAAAGTTGACCAGTGTTAAAGTCGAATATAAGTAAATTTATTTTTTAAAGTCTTTGTTGGCGTTGGCTCTCTGATTTCTTATAGTTCTTACTGTTTCTTATCCTCTGAGACATTTCAATCTGATGGTTTAAAACGCTCTGGTTAAGGATCTGCGTCAGGCGATAATGTTTCTGTGCGATCATGATAAATTTTACTTTGGTATAGGATCCTTGGGTATCTACGTGGTCAAGAGATTGGAAGACAAAAACGGCGTGGTTGGAGTAGGGCGAGGTTATTGATTACCACTCGAAAAGGGTCGTCATATCTTGTTGCAATGGTACAGTAAGGTCTTCCAAGATGACTCTCTTACCGGAGACCCCAGATAAATATTTAAAGTGATTTGACTGAGCGGAGCAAGGGAGGTTGCCCTTTTTAAGAAATATCGTTTTTCTATATTTTCTCCACAGGAAGTTTGGATTCCAACTCAGTCTGATGTGAAAGTTCAAATTCGGCCTCCCTACATCGGCACGAGGTAAAAAAAATCATCACTAAACGTTCGTTTGCTAAAGAAACGTCGTCCTTACAGATGTTCCAGCTTCGTGTTGTTACTAAAGGCCCCTGCTGACAAGTTCTGCAACTCGTTTTTGGATAGGTCCCTAGAAACAAATTAACAAATCAATTACCTAATTTACTCGGCTGTGAACCTGAATTTCACAGCTTACAAAATGGTTAAGGACTTGTCTGTATGCTGCTTGTTAATTTGACTCGGAGCTTCATATAGAAATGAACTTGCTATGAGTTTTTTGTCAAGGTGACGTGTGCAATTGAAATGATTAATTCTCTAAGTAAAGATTATTCTTCAAAAACACCAGAGCTTAGACCAATGTTTTCTCTGTTTACTAGAACCAGCGAAAAAGAATTAAGTATTTAATGATCATGATGCAAAGGGAAACACCCGAAATATTTTTTGGCTCTCTTAATTAAAAAATTTGAAACACATGTAATACTAAGCTTCCCTACACAATCAG